TTTTCCATTTTGGTTTATTCCTTCAATAATTGGATAACTGTAATCATGCATGCCAACCTTAAGATTTACCAAACTTTAGACAGGTGTAGGCTCCTACGATTCTATCTCCTCCACAATATACCTGCTGAGATGAAACTGGACTACCCTCTCTTGAAAACCTCCAGTGAGGGGGAAGTTAGCTCTCACAGAATAACACATTCCAAATCTTTGGAAAATGAAATAATTGATTCAGGCAAAGATCATCATTGGATGCTAGGACCACCAGGTAAACATTTAGGGAAGATGATATTTTCTAGGTGCCAAAGCATCACCCCACATTTTACTTGCTAATTGCATGGGGAAATGGAGAGACCTGGAGGTCACCACCTTCACTGAGTGATCAGACAGCATTTTGACTGGTAGCGCAACCTTTCATTCATGTCTCCCGATGTGATGCAATACCAAATTCACAGCATCATCTAAGAAAACTTCTTGCCCCAAATCTGAATCCGATCATGCTTCTACACCTAACTCTCAGTACACGGGAAATACAAGGGATAGAAGGAAATACAAGGGATAGAAGTTAAACACCATCACTGGAGACAGCCAGACAAACCCAGAATGTGGGGCATTGTACGAGATAACTGGTGCTTGCTTCAAAAAGTCAGTCATGGGGAAAACAAGGTGGGGTGACGGTTCCAGAATAAAAGAGAATAAAATACCTAACAACCAAATGCAATGTGTGAAGCTTGACTAGATCCTGGCCTGTGTTTTGTGCTTTAAACTATAAAAGATACTTTGGGAACAAAGAGAAAAATTTGAGTAGACTGCATATTAAATATTAGAAAAGTATCTGAATTGTCTTAGATATACTAATGATATTTTAGTAAAATTAGAGGAAGTCTCTTACTATCAGGGGAGAGAGAAAAAACAAATATAGCAAAATGTTAACTGCTGACTCTAAGAGGTAAGTGTAGCAGTGATAATTATACATTTCTCTCAACTTTTCCGTACATTTGAAAACTTTCATGAGAAAAGCTTGGAAAACATTTTTTAATAAACTAATCTGTAATCTGCTTCCGTTTGTGTTCACCTACTTATCCTAATCCTATCTCCTTTCTCTTGGCTGCCACAACCACACACTGTCCAGTTTCCGGTCTTGGGGCTCTGGCTGCTCCAACGCAGTCCCCTGGCTAGCTTCTCCACTGATCACTCAAAGTTACAGCTTCAGAGAGCCAAGCTTGGCCCTCCGCTCTCTCCTGCTCTCCATGTCTCCACTCCCTTAGCTTCAGTTGCTGTTATGCCAACAGCATTTCAATGACTCCCAAGTACGTCTTCAGGCCACACCTCTCCTCTGAAGTAAATGAACCTGAACATAGAAAGAATCTTTCTTACCTAAAGCCTTGCACTTCATGAGAAAATGAAGATCTGAAACAACCTACTAAGCCACAGCACATTCTTTTCTCTTACGAAGTTCCCACCATCTCAGTTTAAAGGGGAAATGTTAATACACTGCAAATCTAATAAACTTCTGATTAATTAAAACGCTTGTAGAGTAACTGTTCCAGGTAATTCAATGTTTTAATCAAAGCAAGTTTCAACCACTTTTAAAAATACATTAGCACATATCCCTACTTAGTATACACAATATTCAGGACGTAATTTAATTTTAGGTTTTTTTCGTCTTAAATTTAAAGCACTTGCATGTCAAAACCCTAAATATCTGTACACTGAATGTACTTAGATTTGGATTATGCCACAGATTTAAATGATATAATGAGCTGAATCTGTATTGCCTCCAGGACTCACTTGGAATTTACTCAGATTTCAACATTTAGTTATCCACATTCTTCTTTTTTTTTTAATCTCTTTTCCACAAAAGTAAATTTGTAAGGGAAGACCCAATACTAAGGCTCTTGTTTCTGACAGAGGAGTAAAAATTCATAAAGGGTTTGAGGCAAAGAGAAGTAAACATCTAACATAGGGGCAGAGATGTGGAAAACACACAAGACTCAAGTTCAAGAGCAAATGGTTCAACTTTTTCAGAGATCTTACTTTAACCAAAACCCTCATTAGTTTTGAGGAAAGCTCTAGAATAATATGTGGTGTTTCTGCAGTGTTTCAAAGAATTAAGGCAAGTATTTGTTTTTTACCAAGAAGAGGGGAAAAAGATGTTTCAAAAAAACGCAGAAACGTAGAACTGTAGCTTGCCTCCACTACACTCTCTCGAGTTCACTCGTTTCCATCTCTTCTGCACCCGGTACACACAGGGCTCTCATTTATAACTGCTCGATCAGTCTGCCTATTTATTTATTTTGTGTGTGTGTGTGTGTGTGTGTGGGAGGAGATCAGCCCTGTGCTAACATCTGCCAATCCTCTTTTTGCTGAGGAAGACTGGCCCTGGGCTAACATCCGTGCCCATCTTCCTCCACTTTATATGGGACGCCGCCACTGCATGGCTTGCACAAGCAATGTGTCGGTGCGCACCCGGGATCCGAACCAGCAAACCCTGGGCCGCCATAGCGGAGCCTGTGCAACTTAACCGCTTGCGCCACCGGGCTGGACCCCAGTCTGCCTCGCAATACAGGATTCTTTTGGCTTCCAGGTCTACCTGGTGATGTATCAGAAAATTTCTTCAAACTCGGGGAGTCCTTGAAGCCTAGTATCTATCTAAAACTGGCCAAATGCTCATCACCTGACAGTATGTTCACACTCTTAAGTTATGACCATCACAGGTAACTGTTTTTCTTAACTCAATTCTTTCCTCGTTTATGCAGATTTCGGAAGTGAATGAAACCGTTAACCTTGATTAACACATGGTGCCAATTCACTAATTATCATAAGCATATAACTGCTACATATCCCAAATTACTTCTACTTTGCCTAACAATGGTCATATTTCAATATCAGGTAATTTTAAAAATTTGCCCAAATCACACAAGGTTAGTGATTCCCCGACTAAAATGGATTCTATTTGGCTCAGCAGCTAGGCAAATTCTGGAAAACAATCAAACAAATTAAAACCAAAACATTTATCTGTAAAAGATAAAGACAATATTTTTGTTTCATCTTCTCTCATTTTTCCACGCTGCTTTTTTTAAAAAAAAGTATGAAAGCCTTTTAGGAGTGGAATAAGTTAGATTAGCTTTGTTGCAAAGTTCTGAAATCCTCTGCTTATGATAAAGGCATTAGCATAATCAATGTTTCTGAAAGCTCATGTTTGCAGTTATCCAACGTTAATAGAGGTCCAAAAGTAATAATTCAGTCTCAACCACGAGAGAAGTCCAGCTTCTAGTTTAGAAATAATAACAATTTAATGGACAAACAAAACATTATCACAGTGAATAAAACATTGAAGCACTGGCCTTTTTTCACTCAACAGCATGAAGAGTTTTTTGTTGTCATACATTTAAAACTCTTTAAAACCAAATTAACTTACCGGCAACTATAAAAAAGACTATCACAATAAACCCAGAGACACAAATTTAGCACTGCAGACATTATACAAATAAGCAAAATACATAGTACCCATGTCCAGAACTTTCTAGAAATCTCATATAACTCACCAATTTATCTGATGCTACATTTCAGACAAAATGAACATTTTTTAAAAACCTTATAAATATATAAATCCAAACCACAAAACATCTCCTAAACATTATATTTACTCTAAGTACAAATGGATTTTTGGAAATTACATTCACAATGCTATTTAAACTAGATTTTATGAAATCATAAATGTAGTTAGCTGTATCTTGGGGTTTAAATTCATTAGGCCACCTCCCACATATACTTTCCCGTCAGACTCACCTTGGGCATACATATTCTCAAAGTTAATAGTTATATCACTAAAATCAAACCACTATTCTAGAAAAAAGTGTCAATTTTTCCTGAATAAGGAGACTGGAACTGGTCCGCTGTAACTATATCACGCAACAAATGTTTCATCACAGACAAGTTAAAGTAGTCTTAGTAATGCCCCTTTCTAAGAGTTATAAATATTTTAACGTTAATCATTAGTAATGGGTTTTAAAGACTAAAAAGGTTTTTTTTTTTTGCCTCGTTTCTGTGAATATTCTATTCCCTCAAACCTAAAATCTGCTAAACAATGTCTTCTCATAAATATATACATTCAACTTCCCCTACATCATGAAAAGTTCCTTAACTCAAGTCACAATGCTTATGCTTTTATTTGAAATAAATTGTGTAAGAACTTGAATCCATTTTAAAATGGACTTAAAAACAACAGGGATTGCAACACGTAAAGCTGCACTCCGCCACCTTCGTTTTACCTCCTTGAAGGGTCTTTCCAAGCAGGGCATCAGCTTTGTGTGTTTCCTGCCCATCTTTTGGCCCAGCCTACTGCAACACAGTTTTGCATGTAAACCTAAACCACTACGTTTTGGTACAACTCAGTACAGTACAGCAAGATACTCAGGTTCTCAGCACTTCAAACTGTGAACTAGAACATCTCAATAATTGTTCCTGGGTTTCCACTGCCACAATTTGACCAAAATTGTTAGGATTAAGTTAAATAAGTCCATAATAGAATTTAAAATACAACGGGAAAAAATAAAATCCTCATAAACTTATAGCAACTAATTTAAATGGAACCTCATTCAGGATAAGAAATGGAGCTGATTGAACAATGTGGTTAAAAAAAAAAAAACTAAACTAAAATGTTTTAAGGAAAGACTCAAAAGATTTCCGTGAACAATAACTGCTCTGTGAGAATTTCAGAGAAGACTGAGGAGAGAGGAAAACAAATCTGGAGGAAAGTGTGTGTCTCAAAGACAAGTGGCCATATTCTGTCATGAATCTTACTTTGATGTGAATTCCTCAGTGTTTTTAATTCTCTTTAGTAATGTGGCAAAACAGGTATTTAATTGAAACCACACAAGGGAATGTGGCCGAGTTTCCTCTTGGCAAGGGAGCATGTGCAGAGGGAGCTAGCATCTCAACCACAGACAGCGACACTAACTTAAGAGCGAGAGCACCTGAAGAGGATTCAGGGGCGCTCCAACAACGAGGGGTGCACACTTTTCAAACGGATGTGTCTTGGAACAGCTCTCCTCTCGTATCCACCCTCCATCCTAGACTGTCGATGATGATAAGAGCAATCAGTTCATTCCTCACCTTCCACAAAGACCTCTACTGCAGCCTAACACACCTCACTCCTGGTCTCCATCCAGGTGGGCTGAGTGAAATCCTGCTCTTTCTCTGGGAAGACTCATGAGAAGAGCTCCATGAAGGCTTAGCTCATACATTTTTGTTTCTTTGCTAACCCCTAAGTAGAAATGAATATTTTTACTTCCAGCATATAGGAAAACCAACTGAGTCAACATTTTGATGGAAAACAGACCACAGACATATGGATGATGGCTTTGTTAATGTCAGGGACCCTAATCGTAGACAACACAAAAGAAAATAAATGATAAATTACCTAACTTCAAACATGGCAATGTACGTCAAATTTCTTAGTTTGCATATCGATTAAGAAGGTGTCATACAGTCTAGAAATTCATGACAAACACACTGGCAAAAACCATACACCATAAGAATAACAAGGCTTGAAGGGACGAGGCTGACAAAGACGACCCCAAGGGTGACTTTCTTAGATACCAGTAAGTAGATCCCTAGGGGTAAGGAGCTGAAGTACAGCAAACCTAGCAACCAGACTAAGACCCGGATGGATGTCTGAAAGAGCAGGGATGTACAGTTCCACACAGTCCAGTTGTGGGACACAGTGGTGACAGAGTCGAAACTCGCAGGCCTATAAAACTCTACCACAGGAGTGGAGCTCAGAGACGGGGAGCTCTCTCTCTGGACCTCCATGATGGTGATAACCAGGCAGTTGGAGGAGGTGTGAGAAGGACTGACGAGCGAGGCCAGCCTCTTGGGGGTCAGCAGCAGCTCGGTGGGGTTTTCTGGCAGGCACTTCTTGCCTTTGCCTCCACAAGTCAAGTTCACGAGGATGTTGTTGTCGTCGGGCAGGCTACTAACTTCGTCATCCGGCAGGCATGTCTCAAACCTGCAGAAAGGACAGACGATGACGCCTTGTGGGGAGTCCCCGAAGTCTATGATCTTGTAGAGGCATTTGGCACACACCCTGTGACAACACTCCAGCACTTTGGGCTTCCTCTGCTTCAGGTTGTAGCGATTATAACAGATCTTACACTCGAGCTCGTCGGACACCTGAGACTCTGCGGCATCTTCTGGCGGTTGACTGGCCATCTTGAATTAAGGATACAATCTTTGGCCAGGTGTGTCTCGCTGGAGAACGACTTCGATTAAGGCGTCCCTCTGAACATCACATCATCCAAATCAGGCAGAGATGCAAAAAGGCAGGAAAAGGAGTGACAGAAACCAGAAATCTTCCAGGCATTTTCAACTTCTACATATAAGTCTCTGTCTCAAACGCATATTAACAAAGGCCACACGAAGGGTCTGTAAAGGAAAAAGAGATTCTAATGTAGTGAACAGCTCCACTCAAAAGCGCTTTATGGAATTTTCTGAGCCTCAACAATTAGAAGCAGTAAACTTAAAAGGTTAAATGCCTTTCATCTTTTCACGTGTTTCTGCCCCCAGGAGAGGAAAGTGTTATCTCCATGCTTAGCTTTTTCAGCCCACAAATATGATAGTAAAGAAGGAATTAAGAATCTTAACCTTGTAAATACACTCTAGGGCACTGTGAGATTTCTCTCTGCAACTTGTAACAAATTCTGGCCTTTTTGAAAATAGAATGGGACACATATCAGAAATAGACACATTTCCATCAAATTCCATTCAATATAGACTCACTAATTCAGAGTATCATTGGTATATACCAGTGGTCTAAACATCCTCAATAGTGCTTAGGAACACACAAAAGAAGGAAACCTTCAAGATAAATGCTCAAAATGTGTTTTCACAAAGTATGTTGACAGAGATGAGAGCATATTTAAATAAAGCAGACTATTCGCATCTTCCCAGTGTAAAGAAATCTGTTATAAATGCCTTCACCATTTGACTACTCAATTTCAAACTTTTTCTTTGACTACTAGTCTTGAAAATCATAGTTGTATATATACACTCACTCAAGGAAGAATGAAGCATATGACATCTGACATAAGCGTTATAATAAACAAGTCAAGTCTAATTCACAAGAAAGATAGGTAAACACGATAACACACACAGTCATTCCTCCAAACATGAAGAGTCGTGCCTGCATGGCCATCAACTCAAAGTTCACCTACTTGCCTAGTGTATTTCATGTAAACTCTCCTTCTTCAGTGAATAGAAAGTGTAATACCATCAGCAGTCCTCAATGTTGGCCCTTAGTTGCTATTACTGGCTTTGGACAAATGGCTCAAGGTTGATTTCATGTGCATAGTCAGTTTTCAATTAATAGTACAAATGGAAGGGAGCAGTAATATAGGAAATATCCAAATAATTTTTATTTTGCTTTAATATATGTGATTTTTTTGGTCATAGATTTTGTCTTAAACTATGTTTTGCTTGGAAAAATATCAAAATGTATTTAAATTTGAGCATACCTCCAAGCGATAATACCAGAAGACTGCCATAACAGTTCTGGGAAGTAGAGAGCAACTATGCTAGAATTTAAAATTTGCTGTGGATCATACTGCCTTAACAGAGAAGAGGCAGCTAAACTCGGATAATTTTTGAAATCATGAATAATTGGTTTGTGAAAACCTATTATCTTCCTTTTTATTTATGACTTTAGCTAATTTTTTAATTGACTTCATATAATACAATTATAATGGATATCAGTGGCAAGATACTCTTGGTAGGAAAAGGAAGTCAATCAATAAATAGAATCTCTGGTGTCACCCCAAAAATATAGGCAGAATTAAAAAAAATAGAGTTTACTGTATGTGAATGCAGGTATTACAAAATTGCTACCATAAGCCAATTTCTATGTATCCCCTCTTACACACAAAAAAGGATATACAAACACAAACATCAACTCCTCCATCCCTTTTCCCTCCATGTGCCCTAAATATTTTCTTCATTCCTGATCCTGATCCTGTTCAGGTTACAAGTGCCCAAGTCATTGCAAAACGTGACTTCACCTTGCCCACAATTCTACAAAGCTGGCTTTTTATTCTCTTGTAGGATGAACTTCGCCAGGACCAAAATCAAGGAACAAGAAGGTGTTCTCTCCCTGTCACCACTCCTAGTGCTAACTTCCTTCACAGAATGGTCCCGAGCCCTGGGCAGGTCACTGGTGATCTGCTTACTGGACAGCTCCCATTCATTCAGCCCTCCTGGCAGCACACACAGACTTTGCAAAAGGCCCATCCAAACTGAACACGTTATATTCTTTTTGCAGCCCCTTCCCACTCAGCCTCAATACCCTCAAAAATCCAGGCGTACTGAAGCTGATATCAATGGCAGAATTCACAGCAGTGACTGCCTCCATCACCATCAAAAGGACTGATGTATGTGAAGTTGTGTGAAAAAGGAAAAGAAAGTATGTAAACATACACACAAAGACATGGGGAAAAAAGAGAGTAAAATATGCAGTGAGGATAAATAAGCAAAATTACATTTAAAGGCACAGAAAGCCAGAGCATACATATAGAAACACCAACAAAAGGCTTATATGTAATGAAACTAGACCCCTATCTTACACCGCTCACAAAAATTAGCCCCAAACGGATTAAAGACTTAAATGTAAGACTGGAAACAATACAACTCATAGAAGAAAACATAGAAAAAAAACTTCTTGACATGGGTCTTGGCAATGATTTTTTGGATTTGACACCTAAAGCACAAGCAACAAAATCAAAAATAAACAAGTGGGACTACATCAATCTAGCAAGCTTCTGCACAGCAAAAGGAATGATCAGCAACATGAAAAGATAACCTATGAGATGGGGAAAAATATTTGCAAATCATCTATCTGATAAGGGGTTAATGTCCAAAATATATAAAAAACTCATGTAACTCAGAGCACTCCATCCAAAAACAGCTGACTACACATTCTTCTCAAGTGCTCATGGAACACTCTCAAGGATAGACCATATGTTGGGAAACAAAGCAAGCCTCAATAAATTTAAGAAG